CACACACACACACACACACACACATCCAGAACTGACCAGGACCAGAGAAATATATGAACCTGTTCTAAAGTCCTAATATTTGTCAGTTTCCAAGTTCCACTTTTTAAGATTCTTTTTAAAGCACTTCATATTCTTGCACCAGCATACATGTCCCACATGCTTGAAGTGTATGAACCAGCACAGCTCTTCAGGTCTTCTGGCACAAATCAGTTAGCTGTTCCACACTGCAGGACACAAAGCTGTGGTGAGGCAGATTTAGCTTTGATGCTCCAAATTGAGTTAAGGTGCTGAGAGCAGCCAGAAATACTGAAATCTTTATATACATCGCCTATATAAACTTCAGTGCATAAACTAAACTAAAATACCACACCCTTACACCTACTTGATGACATAATCAAAAATATAAGAAAGCCGGTGGCACAAGAGCAAAACTAGTTGACCAACTGGTGTCCTGAATTGTCAGGAAGGAGTCCTGGAAAATGTCCCTGCATATGTCCTGGAAAATGATCTTTTAAAAAGAATGGGAACCTGGTTTCATTTTATTCTAGCTGTCTTTGATGTTATTTCTTTATCCCTGTTTGTTGACTTTTTTATTTATTTATTCTATCTATTTTATTTGACTACTTTATTTTATTGATACAGCTCTTAAAATCAATTTGATGATTTTAAATTGTCAGTATTTTTATTTGTAATCTCTTATTTTTGGCTCAGCAGTCAGTTGTAAAGCACTCGAACACTGCACTGATCTGAAAGGTGCTCGACCTGTAGACTTCACCAAAAGCAACGTCAACAACATGCATCAGGAGGGAGAATTAATTAGACTTTCTCAAACGTCACAGCATTTAATACTTAAATCACAAGATGACAACAAAGAGAAGCATGTGACAGTCAGATGAAAATCCTGAGCTCACAAAGACTCTGCTGAGTCTGCAGTGCAGCTGTTGGAGAGTCAGTGTGTTCACCTCTGTGCATGAAAATACAATCTGTGTGAAAGTGGAATGTTGAGAAATCTCTTGGCAGAGTTTCATGGGGTATGCTTGTTTTTTCACTCCAGATCTGGCAGCAGGCTGTCAGGCGGCGGGGGCGGGATGTTCACATCAGGAGAGGAGAGCTCTGCAGAGTGGAGTGGTGCTCAGCTGGAGACAGATGAACAGCCGAGCTCGGAGGAGTGGCTGGTGAGATCAAAAGCAACACAGCTGAAACCTCAAATCCACCAAACCAATATCTGAATTTCAGACCATTATGATCCAGAGGAAGGAACTCACTAGTTATTTATTGAATTACAAGTTTTTTATTACAATTTCACTGTCCTTTAATTGCTTCAGTTTTGTCCTTGATCAGGGTAATTTTTGTTTGGTCAATGTTTTCACAGCTATGCCAGCTGGTGGTTTCTGAAATGGGTTTCACACTGGAGGGAAGAACGTTTTTCTCAGACCTAACAAAAATTATATAATAATGAGTCTGGGGTCAGAGTGGGTCAAAGATCCTATTTGTCAATTTATTCCTTTACCATCAAAATTCTAAAAAGATTTGGGATAAAAAATACCATATTATGAAATGGAAAAATAGGCTATGAATGGTTGAAAGATCTTGATTTAATAATTTAAGGTTAAAGTTTTAAAGCCTGGCATAATGTTTAATAAGATAAAAAAATTTTAAAAAAATCTAATCTCCACAGAGATTTTTTTGTATTTTAGTTTTTCTTCTTCAAAACTGCAGTACTCTTTTCCATTGGTGAAGTTCTGAAACGTTCAAACTTGAGTTTTCAAAGGGCAAAGCTTTATTTTGAAAGCCTGCAGATGTACACCTGCACTCTGGCTGCAGTCTGTTATTTCACAGTTGAGTTTGCAACACCCACTTTTCAGAGATTGACCCACACATTGATTTTTGGCAGAGCTCACCAACAGTTCTGATCTTGAAACTTTGAAACTGATGGTCTGAATAAAAGTAGGGATCCAGGAGACAGGAGCACTTGCTAAACTTATTATTTACTCTGTGCTGAAACAGGGTCACATTTTGGGATTATGCGGTGTTGACAGACTGTTCCACTGATAATGACCATGCGCAGGAGGCACGGTTGCTTCAAAATGGAATTTCAATCATGCAGAACCTTTTTCTTGTATTAGATTTTACTTTCAAACACAGAATTTCAACCTTTCAGTCTTTTTTCAGTTTTAGAAGATGGAATAACATTTATCCCATGCCCAGAGGTAAAATAAACTGACTGATATATTCATGTGCTTTATATACAACATTATTTCTCACTTCATCCCCAAAACATCGAGGGACTGAAAGATATTTAATGCAGCGTTCCAGTCCGAGATAAAATGGTGTTATTTGTGCGTGAGCAGAATTAGAAAGACTATGTTGCGTTAAAATGCATTGCAGACTATTCAGTAGTCCTTCCCATGAGTGTTGTGTGTGTTATAAGGCCCAGAAGGATTCTTGAGAGCCCACACAGATACTCATCTCCCCTTTCTTGAATCGACGATGCTCTGATTGCAGTGCTCTCTCAAGTTTTTGCTTTGATTGGACGAGTGAGTCGACACTAAACCAGACTGTCCTAATCAACCTTCTCCACGCCACAAATTTCCTCCCACTTCACTGCTTTACACTTCTTATGCACCCATACAAACCCTGATTGAAGCATGACATCAGATTTTTTATTTTAAAACAGGCATCTGAGCCATGCACAGTCTAAATTCAGAGAAGGGATGGATACGAGAAGAACAATTATCATGATTTAGTGCATCATTTTAGGGGTCCATTGCATAAATAATATATCAGATAAATGTGTTACACTCTCATCTCTGTGTCTATAGCAATCAATGCCCACAATACAAACTAAACTTGGTTGTGAAAAACAAGCCAGTTACAGTTCCGTGTCCTGTCTGTCCTCTTGCAGCCTCAGACACCGTGGGAACGACGAGTGTTTCTTCTGGACGAGGATGAAGAGGAAGCCCTCCTCTGTGACAGTTTAGAAACGGAACCCTCAGGGTGGTCAGAGTCGGGTTATCACTCTGCATCAATAAAGTCCAACTCCCAGCTCTCCCCAGCACAATCCTCAGGTGCTACACTGCCCTCTGGTGCACAAAGCTTCAGCATTACACCTCAAGGCACCTTTTAATGTAAGTCAGGAAATATTGTAAATATTGTGTTAGTTATCTGTTCAATAATGGATTCCTGGTTTTATTTTTTACATTCATTCATACATTCAGTATGTTTTTTAAAGGAGGATTTTAAAAGGAGTTTCACTCAGAAAGTGTGTGTGTGTGTGTGTGTGTGTGTGTGTGTGTGTGTGTGTGTGTGTAGTTTTCATGTCAGATATTAACAGGAGAGTATTTTGCATTTTGTAGTACTTAATTCGTCAAATCTACTCAGTGTGTGGAAACCATTAAACAAAGGATTTGTTCATTCTGTAGATTATTGGGTCTCAGTCATACGTTGCTAAATAGCTCAGTTACTTATATGACTTATGTATTGAATTTGTAAATTAAATGATTGTTTGTAATATTTCCTCTCCAGATTGCCTCACGTCTGGATATGGGAGGAGAAAATGTGCCCCGGGATCCTCGAGTATTGATACTAAATACATTCCATGTGTATAGTGATCTGATGTCATTAGATAAATACTCTGAAGCAAAAGCTTCTATTTTGTGAATATTGTGGCACGTGTAGTTTTAACTGACAACTGTAGCTCCTGCTACACTTTCAGGTTTTAATGTAAAGAAATGTATATCAGTAGTCTCAGGTTTGTGTACTGTTTGTAGTGGTCACCTGCTATTTATTTTCACTGTTGTCTTAACAAGTCTGTATAGAAAGACTTAAATATATACATATGTAAACCTTTACCTGAGTTACTTGAGCTTTTTCATTTCATGGTTGATATTTGTCAAAGCGATAGGTCAGTGGGGAGATATCAAATATATCCTTTTTATGAAGAAAGCAAAATTGCTTAATAAATGTAAAGATGAGTAAACATAGTGGATGTCATACTTTTCCTGCCAGTACATTATATTTATATTAATATGAATATTTATACGGAGTGGGAAAAATAGCTGGGAAGTACAACGAGTATATGGAAATGTGGATTTCAGCTAATCGATAAAACTAAAAAATGGACAGGTAAAGCATATAGGTTTTGTTTCAGTCATATGAAATATGTCTACAACTTTTCACTGATTTCAATGATTAACTGTAGCTGTAGCCTCCATATTTATAAAGTTAATGGAGGTCATAGCTTTTTAAGGCCATAGTCCCAGTGAAGCAGCTCATTGTTTGATCCCATATGCATAACCTCTTACCAGGAGGCCTAATGGACAGATGGTGGCTAAGGCTGCCTTTCATCTGCCATGTATGTGTGTCAGTGGTTTCACTGTGGGGATGAGAGTCTGGGTGATCAGAATTAGAAGTCATGAATTTACAGATTGTAATTATATGGTTCCTTGTCACATCCTCTCATTAACAATGTTACAAAAAAAGCATTTCTCTCATTCTGGGTGTGAAAAATACTTGTGTGGTCTGGATACTTAAAATGTGCCATCATGTACAAACTCAAATGTTCTTCTCCCTACTTCTTCTCGAGAACTCGGACACAAATAGCAGTAAGGTCGCTTTCACTTTGGCCAGTTGCTTCTCTCTTCAGGTGCCGTGACCAAGAGGCCTCATACTGTCTCCATGAAAAGTGAAGGAGAGCAGCAGGAGGTCTGCCCAAACTGTCCTGCCTCATCTTTCTGATGCTCCAGATTTCCACTCTGGTCCTGAAGGCAAACCAATAACTTCTGATGGCCACATGGGGGCCATATTGCTCCTTTAGAAGTCAGTTTATAAGCAGTCAGTCAAGCAAAAAGTAAAATAATATAATAAATAAAATAGTTAATCTATAAAAGAGGGTGGTCACTACCTATACATAAACTGGTGTGTATATACATGGAAACAACTATGAAGAGTTGTATGTAAGTTTTTCTACATAGTTGTAACTACAGTAGCTTCACTCAAGGGGGCGCTCTTGCATCTCCAAGAACACCTTTACCAACCCAACGTAGCAAGTCTGTGACAGAACTGCTTGTATCATGTTTCATAACTTCAACTGTTCAACTTGAAGTGGGTAATATTGTGACAGTGCTCCTCCTGATATTGAATATACGTTTTCTAAGCTGTTAACTTTCCTTAGGTGGTGAAAGAAACTTCACTGGATAAATGAAAACTTTGGGATTCAACCGTGAGTTAAGTAAGATTAAAAAACAGGATTTAATGTGTATTGTAATGTTTAGTGCACCATTGTAATGTTAGCTAGGGTAAATAAGGCTCATTATGGCACTCATAACTGATATTAGGTATTTTTTTTAATCAATTCTTGAGAGGTGACAGATATTTCAGCTCACTCTTGTTCATTGTGACTTTCACTGTCTGCATGTCAAATTTCAGAAGACTTTGCTGTAGGATTACTTAGAAAATGAATGGCAAATTTGGCAACTTTTCTATTAAGTCAGTCATAACTTACTGGTATTAAATATTCTTTAAAATAAATCCTTGAGAGGTGACAGATATTTCAGCTCACTCTTGTTCATTGTGAATCATTTTTGAGAAAATGAAAGGCACAGATGGCTACTTTTTTTATTATGGCACTCATAACTTGCGCATATAAAATATTCTTTAGAAATCATCCCTTAGAGGTGACACTTATATTTCACATCACTCTATTTCATTGTGACCCCCACTGTCTGCGAGTCAAGTTTCAGAAGATTTTAATGTAGAATCTCTAAGAAAAAAACGAACACATTTGTCAACTCTTTCATTATGGCACTCAAAACTTAAATATTCTTGGAATAAAATCCCTGAGAGGTGACACAGATATTTCACCTCACTCTTTCACACACATTCAGAAAGTGGGTGTCCAGGGATCTGTACCGTAAGACCACAAGTAGACACGCATCCATTTTCAAAGTGTGGCTGACCGGGTTTTCACTAACTACAGAGCACGTGACCGCAGTGATGCAACACTACACAGTAAATAAAGTACAAATCATATTAAATCTTTCAGATACACGTTAATTATCATTTTCATTAAGCTAGCAACGTTCACGTGAATACTACTAGTAATTGTAATTATTTCCAATCAGTAATTATCTCCCACTTATTTTTCTGAATGTGTGTCGTTTCTAGCAAATGGTGGACCACGACACCTTGATGACTCGTGAAAGAACAGCCACGGTGTAGTGGTGTGTCTACTCCAGTCATTACGGTAAAGTGAGGCTGCGGAGCCGCTCTGTGACCGTCAGACCAGGAGTTGCTCTGGAAGACGCTGCGCCGGACAGGTAAGAAAAAAATACACATGACTCTTCTTTAATTCTTCTACAGCGCTGTAATACAAGTGCGTCTGTATAAAAGACAAAGCCCCAGAGCCGGCATGTCACAGGGAGTCTCTCCAGAACACACTGAACGGACATGAGAGCGAGCAGTGAAGCTGAAATGATGAGGAGCCCCTCTGTCTCTGTGAGGATGGAGAAAGGACGCATTGTTCAGATCTGGGTCTGGGTTCTGGTGCGTTTGTGTTGCCGTTGTTTCATCGGCGTCGTCAGCCAGGGTTCAGTGACTCGGTTTCTGGAATGGCACGAAATCCCAAGCTGAGCAACAGATCTAGAAAAAGCAGATCTCTTGAGATATGCGATAGGGATCGATTGATCCATGTATCGACCCAATCACGCGCTGAAATCGTTGTTCTCGTTGACGTGCAGAGAGGATCGTGTCTGCATTGTGCTCCAGAAAAAAAAAAAAAAAAAGCCTTCACCTATTGCGGTCACTGCGGGAACTTGCGTTGCTGCGGTGGCAGTGCCCAATCAGTGCTGTAGTATGACCACATTCGATACGGCTATATACCATGAGGTTACTGTGGGGACATCACTGAGAGCAATCCACTGTAGGATTGTATAATATGTGATTTCTGATCTTCCCAGTGAGACAGAGGAGAGGGGTGCAAACACAGGTGCTGAGTCATGTTAGCTCTGCTCTCATTGATCACACTAATGAAAGCTCAATTTGTTCATATTAATTTTTGCCAGTCATTACCATAGTGTTTTTATGTGGCAGAGCTAATTTCATTCATTTAAAAATGAAGTTAAAAAGCTTATCTCTTGATCGAATCCCTGCCTCCACCGACAAACACAGCAAATGCAGCTGAAGGAGTCTTCTGTCACACCTCCTTCAGTGAATGGACATTAAATAGTGAGATTGTGCATGATAGAGGTAAACAGCACATGCAAACTTCAGCCAAATCTCATTTACATACATAGAGCTGGCTATTGATTCCCCTCTGTCAAGTTCACTTGCTCCAGTGTGCATGTACATTTAAACGCCTGATGAATTCAGAATGAGGCTGGGATGCATTGAGTCATGGACGGTCAGACTGGCTGCTGGGAGCTCCTCCTTGCTGAGGGAGTAGGCTGGTGTTTCTGGAGGTGTAGGTTGGTCATCTATTGGTTTCTGTTATATCACTTATGTCTGCTTTCTGCTTTTTTGGACACAACCCTTCGACTACTAACCCGAATGTAAGAGAACATAGATCGTGTATCTCCTGCGCTGTAAACTGAAAATCTCTATAATCTACCTATTACCATGTTTTTTTAAGCTATTTTTTTATTAAATAATAAGCAGTATGCTATTATTTGCAGCCCCTAAAGTACATTCAAATTGGCATATATCTGTCTGACGCTCTGATTGTATGCATTTAAGTGCACAAAAATGATTCATCATTCTATTGCTGAATACTAGATGATAAAAATAACAAGCTATAGGCTCAGTTTGCTGGTTGTATTTCTGTTTTTAATAAAGGGAAAGTGGACCACTACCATGATGTGCCTGGTTTCTATCAGAGATAAACAGAAGTACTCATTTAGAGATTCATCCCTAAACTCCTCATGGCGGTGCACAGTAGAAATTACAGGCTGATTTACAGAACTAATTTGATAGTAAGTGAATAGTCATTAAATATTCATCAGGGGAAGAGACATCAGCTGAAAGTGCAGATGTCTGCATTTGTGATCTATACTGTTTCAGAGCTAATGAATTACGTCTGTGTTGTGTGCGGTTGATTCAGCTGACAGGTTGGATTAAAAGACTTTCATTCGAATGTGAGCAGTCGACGTGTGACGTGGTGACAAAAGACATGTTGAGTTTTTGTGAATTAATGAAATGTCTTCCCAGGAAATCTGGGGTTTTTAGTTTGGGATGCAAGGTCTGATAATCATCCCAGGGTACATTTAAACTTTATTGTTCAGTATGGATTTACATAATAGAACAATTAAATACATGTTTATAAAAAAAGAAAGTTGAAAATAAAAGATGAATCAAAAGACATGAGGAAACCTTGTGGTGAGCATATCAAAATGGAAACTCTCCCTTTGGTTTTCACTTAAAAGAATGAGGGAGCCTGAAAGCGGAATGGGTCAGAGCAGCTTTGAAAAGAAAAACTGTGTAAAAACATACATTTCTTAAAAAAGCAAAACCTTAAATTTGAGTATTTATCTGCCCAATGAAGGGAGGCTAGTGTTGAGGAATTTGTGGACTCATCTTAGTGCCAGTCTGGAACGTGGTGGTGGCAGCATGTTAGACCACCTGCAGGGTTGACTCACACAGAAAGAAATAAAGAGATTAAAACGCAGAGTGTTAATGGCTCTGTCAAATCGGTAAAACACATCATTAAATGTTTCATTTGACTGAAGACGAAAACATTTACTACTTAAAACAGTTGACTTGTTGTTTTTAAAACTTTTTATGGAAATTCTGGACATTTACCACCTCTTATTGTTGTAATGACATTCCTTAGGATGCTATTTTAATCACAAACATCAGTGACATGTGGAAAAAAGACATGGCATCCGCACAAAGAGACGAGGAAGACGACGCACAGGTGAACATACCTGTGTTGTCTGTTACAGGTGTCCACTGTGCTGATGATCTCATGGAGACAGTGGAGATATTTTTGGGTTACATATGCAACACTTGTCCCTGTTTCCAGCTCATGATAAGATCATTTAGATAATTAGGTTAAACTGGGGATTTGTTGTCTAACATGTGTTGCTTGCCCTTATGGACATCTACTGCTGTACGGGAATGCTGTGTCACTGTATTCCTGTCACAGTAATTACATTTATGAGTAGAATGCTGTGAAAATTGGCAGGTTTGAATAGGTACAAAAGAAAATGTAAGACCCAGGCAGTAAAAGACTGTCCTTTAAGACCCCAGAAAGATACGTTCTAAAATTAAAATTATGGAAATGTAAAGGATTAATTGATGGTGTCATTTGCTTTAGTATGATCGGCCTTCCGAGAAAGCGCTCCTGGCTGAGGTGCCAGCTCCATTAGACCACTCGTGAAGTGCCACCACGTACTGTAGGTCAGCTTCACTAAGCTCCGTGTGCCAGCGTGAAAACCTAATCCTGAACCCTACAAAGATACTTAGTCAGCTGGTCATTCACATGCACACACACGCACGCACGGACGCACGCACACACACACTAAAAGCTTGACGCGATGCTCTCTGAGTGTGTGTGTTTGCTTGTTTGTTTGGGTGTGTGAGAGACAGAGGAATTGGAAAAGGCTCTTTGTATGAAAGAGGAGAGACTCTCAGTGGCACTTTGGCAGTGGCACCAACACACTCAGCTGCCATGTTTGCCAGCCAGCTGCCAATCTCTCCTCTTTCTCTGCCTCTCAGGCTAAGTAAAGTACTCCAGGTTTTTGGAAGATTAGCTCATTAGTAAATGTGCTTACAAAGTATCAGAAGATGCTCCTTTGTTTCATGCCAACACCTTAGTATATAGGCTGCAGTCAACTTTTATTTGCATTAAATTGCCATTTGGTTTCTAGTATGAAAAATGCCAGTCACGATTGTGTAAAACCCAAGGTGAATTCTTTAACCTCCCCTTATATTTTATGCTTGTAAAAAAAATTGAAATTGACTGTGGGGCTGGTGAGCAAGTTATGTAATCTTTGTGTGTGTGTGAACACTGTAACAGTGGTAACAGCAACTGCCACGGCAACCCTATTATACTGTATGTCTAGATTATTTTTGATTTATATTCTACAGTCTCTTAAATGAAATAATGTATAGCTGCTTAAAGTTATTTAAATTCACAGGTGCAATGAGTTCATATTCTCTAGGCTTAACAGATAGTTCAACAGACAACACAATCCTCCAGGACCTCAATACTAGATATTTAAGTTTTTCAGATAAGCCATGCTCTGATTCAGAACTGAACTCCTCAGATAAAATCCCCCATCTGCTGTAGTAGCCTAAAAGGATGCAATACATGACTCGCTTATTCATTTAAGAAGTATTTTTAAACAACGATGTAAGGAATGGAACATTATTTGATATCAATGCCATTTTGATCGTATTGATTCTCACTTCACAACACCCATTATTGAAATCTTTGTGCAATAGACTGTTGATGAGAGATTATTGATGCTTAGAGTCATCTACTGACTGCCCAGATTCAGCTACTGACAACTACCTCTCTCTAAAACCACAAGTTGACTCTTATTTTGAAGAGTAGGAGAGCAAATAACAAACCAAGCTGGAACACTGGTTCCATAAACAACTAGCATGCCATTGATACATGACTTGGCATTGTACATTAGCTGGCTGCTTGTATTCAGTTTTACAGTAGCGAGCACAGGGTCAAGGATACCTGCATGGCAACAATTCATCCCTCTACCAGATATCAGGTCAGGCTTTATGGTCAGTGTAGATTTTGTTTGTGTTGTGAAGATGGTCTCTTGTGTGATAATAAACAGATAATGACCCCTGGGTCAGGGTTAGTTACAGAGGGGCACGTTTGAGCTGGTACAGGTGGTTTTTTGCTCCAGAGCACATAGAGCATACAGGTTTGTTCATACAACCGTTTGAAACTTTCACCAAATGTCTCATAAAACAATGGTCTTCCTACTCAACATAGCAGGTTGCAGAAGTGAGGTTAGTCAGTTGTTGACTTGTTGAGTGATTCTTAAACAGATTAAATATCAGGAAGGAAAAGCACATGGCTGTGGCATTCTTTATGGCAATGATTTTCTTAATTTGGATGGCGCTATTCTTCCACATGGCATGGATGCAAGAAGGGAATTTGCTAGAAGGCAACAGGAGAAGGACTCTAAGCTTCCTTAGATAGACACAAAGAGCTCGTACCTAATAGACAAGTGTCTACCTTTGTCGCATGGATGAGGTTTGGGGATGAAAAGTCTGACATGGATCGGTAAAAACATACTTTACAAATAATGCCCCAGACGCGTCCCCACAACACACTCAAACACCACTAACCTCT